TTATGATTGATATTATTAATTGGATTTTGTTTTTTATCATTATGATGATATATTGCTAGTTTTCAAATATTATGTGTTTAGAAAATTTATTATGTGATTTTATTAGCAATAAATTATACAAATTAAATATTAATAATTAATAATTAATATTATAATATTTCTTATACATTACATTTTTCTATATATTTTCTATTAATATATTTCTTTTATCATATATTTTAATTAATTATCCTATTATTTCCAACTGAACAAATGTTATACTTTTTGTTTCTAGATATAGTAATAAAGTCAACATAAAAAATAACAATATAAGTAAAAAAGATATATCGATATTATCTTGCAATTTTTTTAATAATGATCAACTTTTTCGTATTTTTTGCAATGTCGTTAAGTTTATGACTTAAGTTTAGAAGTTTCATTAGATGTCTTAAATCTTTTAGTCATCTTTTATCACATCATCTTTTCAGATTTTGCAATATCAGTACTGAAAGATTAATATTCTCTTTATCACTTATTTCATCTTCTTGATCAATTTCATTCAATTCATTCAAATCTGATTCTCTATCTTCTGTAAATTCTTGTAACAAGTTGATAAGCTGCTTTGATTTAGAATTAGATTGTAAAGCTTTATTTAATCCTAAACTAAATTTTCTTATTCTAACCTTAAGTTTAACCTAAGCTATTCTAATCCTAAACCAATTTTCCTTACCCTAATCCTAAGCTACTTTAAATCTAATACTACTCAAAAGATAGCGTATTAACTTTTCTTACCCTAACCCTAAGCTACTCTAAAGTCAATATTAACTCTAAACCAATCTCTTCTAATCCTAACCTTAAGCTATTTTAAGTCAAGAAATATACCTTGTACATATTGCAAATTTCAAGTGTCTTCTTTTTTCATAAGATCCATGTATAATAGTGATGAAAAAAAAGGATTTACATTTGATATTAATGAAAAAAAAAGGGTTTTTATAGTCAATAGTAAAGAAAGGATAAGTTAAAGCGAAAACATTGAGAAAGAGAGAATATAGGAATTACTGATCAATTTGATCAAAAAGGCTAATAAAAAAAGCTATTTTATGTAATTATATCATATTTACATTATTATATTTAATTACATAATATAAGATTATGCACATGACAAATGGGGTTAGTGATAAATCCTGACAAATCGCATAGGTGATAAATTATAATTAATATTTTTATTAATTAAAATATTATTCATTTATAAAATTATTAAAAAATTAAACTTTTACAAATTTTAATAATTTTTTTATACAATATAAGAATATTTTAATTAATTATATTTGAATATTTACAATGATTTTTTTAATAAAAGTTTAATATACATCTAAATTTAAATTATTATTCCTTTTACTATATAAATATTAAAATATTAAATCAATATCAAAAATTAAAAAAAAGTATTAATATATAATAAAATATAATAAATATATAATAACAATAGTAAATAAATTTTTTGCTAATAATATAAAAAAAAAAAATTTTTTTTTCTAATTTTATTAATTATCCATCAATAATTTAATAAATAGCAGAATATATTAAGAAAAATGGAAGTTATTTTGTACAAAAATTTGGACGAAAATCTTATTATCTTATTGAAGAAACAAACAATGTCCAAAAGTTTCTTACTATAATAATTCTAAAATTTCATACAAATAAATATATAGCATATTATTTACAGCAATATTATATTTCTACAAATTTAAATACACTTTCTAAAATGTCAATGGTAATGTATACCCAAAAATTCCTTTAAGTTTTGAAATTTTGGAATACCTACCAAACTTTTTTAAAAAAAAGTTTTTTTCTTTTTTTTTTTGCTAATATACATTATTCTACTTCTTTCTAAGCCTGATAAAATGTAATAAATTAATTAGCAAATTTCATTATAATCCAATACAAAAGTATCATTATACTAATCTTACATTTGAAAAAAAAATTCAAAGCTCAGAGAAGTGATCGATTTCCATTATACAATCATCACAACAGTCTGAAAGTTCAGAATCACTATCTTCGCCAAAAATTTCCAACTCTTCGAAGAACACGTGATTTAAGGACCAATCCAACTTGATAAGTTCTTCTGGTCCTGGCCTGAAGATTTCGCGGTTGGCTGATCCATTAGTGTCATTATCGTGATTTACAGAATTGCCTCTAACCGGTTCTCCATAACGGAGGACACCCTTACCCTTATCAACTCTAGGTTTATGAGTAGCAGCGTTAACGATCAATCTATTTATATCAACATTCTGGACCCGAGAAGGTTCAAAACAATCACGGAGAACTCTCTTTCCTTTATCTCTCTTGGGTCGTTCGGCTTTTTCATTATCGACATGTGATTTGAACATCAAGTCGTCGTCAAGTAGCTTGACAAACTTATGTCGTTTGAATTCCGAAAAGTCATCGGAATAACTCGAGTCATCATCATCGTCATCATCATCCTCATCGTCGTCGTTGTCATCATCATCATCATCATCATCATCATCATCGTCGTCGTCGTCGTCGTCGTCGTCATCATCATCAGAATCATCATCATCATCGTCATCATCGTCATCATCATCATCGGACGATTCTTCACCAAACCAACGTTTTCTACGAGTTTCATCTTTCAATGCAACGAGTTCGGCATTTTGCCTACCAAAGTTAATTTGGTTTTGGTCACTTGATCGATCGGTTTCCCGTCCGCTTGAAAGGATCGTTGTGGAAGTCGCACTAATAGATAATGAATCAATTGCGCTGGTTGAATCAGCCGCAACTGAAGACTCTTGATTCGAATCCGATCGCGAGAATTTAAAAGGAAGACACTTGAAGTCATGCACTGTCTGCGCTGGCTGCGAAATCTGGGAGAGATGTGTAACCGATTTAGACATCGACACTGGAAAGATCGATTCGGCACCAAATTCATCAGCATCAAACAAAGAGTCCGTGTTTTCGTCAGCAGCACCTTCTTTTGTATCGGGATGATTGCACTTGATTTCTTCAGCCAAAGAAATTTTTGGGACCTTTTTAGGTGGTTTATTGTATCGGACTGACAGTTTATTTTTATTTGCAACCCTTTTGTAACCTCTCCTACAAAGGACTTGATTTCCGATCGTCTCTAACTGAAAAAAAGAGTTAAAAATTCAATAAATTCGCTAGTAGGGAAGATATATATTTTGAATTAAGAGGAGAATCGAAAAAACTTACGCGCTCTTTACTTTCTAAGTCCGGTATTAATTCCTCAGCAATCCTCTTATACAAGAGGCGTTCTTCTTCAGAACGATCAGGGTCGATTTCGACACGGCTAGCGACGAGGTCCTTAAGGTCTCGTAATACAGTTGTCAAAGCTTCCCAAAGGCACTGTTGAGTTCCATTTGCGGGAGTTTCCCTGTATAATCGAGCCCCAACTATAAAAAGGAAGGAGGGAAATAATAGGTTACTACGAACATTAAATCAAATGAAATTTAATTAGGAGATATTTACCACCCAAGTAGAAATAGATTGACCCCTTAGTGTCGACACCCAGGGCTTCTACCTCAACAGGTCGGACAACATTTTCGGCCCGGAGAGATTGGATCATTTCAGATCCTTTAAACTGCCACATCACAAGATATTTCAAGATCATGACCTAGGATTAAAAATTCAGATGAGAATGAAGAGTATTAAGGAAAATGTATATCGATTCAATTAAGCTTACCTTCTCGAAGTTCGAGAGTTCATGGTACGCGTCATCGACCCTTTCAAAAGGGTTGTAAGAGAGGCCGAACTCTTCTTTCTCAATTTTTTCGTATAAGTGCTCACTCAATTTCCTGATCCAATACCGCTTACTACATCATTTAATTAAGGAATTTAGCGAAATGCAAGAGGTTGAGATATAACAAATTACTTGCGAGATACATACTCGACTATCTTTGGTAAGTTCAAAACATTCCGCAAGAAGTAGCGATGAACACGCTCAACCAGGTCAACTGGCTCGCGACACACAATTGCATCTTCTAACTCCTATCATTATAAATAAATAAGCAATTAAAATTCTTTATAAATGCACTAATAAATTTCATTTAACGAAATATTACCTCTGGAAGGAATGCTAGGTTTCCAACCGCTTCGTTGTATTGGACGCAAAAGGCAATAACAAATGCCATCTCCGGCATATCTCTCGGATGCTTGTCAGCAATACCCGACAAAAAAACGTCTACCTCGCTAAGAGGAACTAAATCTGTCATTTTAGAGGTGATTCTTTTATTCTGTTCTTGAATAGAAGTTTTCTCCTGAACAAAGTCCGGCGAACTTGGTTGTAAACCAACTGACATAATATAACTAGCACAAAAAGTAAAGTAAAAACAGTTGAAACAATGGAGGAAAGGTGAGAAATGTTGAATAGTAAGTTTATTTGTTTATATCTAAAAAAGGTATAATTTCTCTTTTTTCACACCTTTCACTCTCTATAATTACAAAAGAAAGGTGTAAATGATCACAACAACTGGCAGAAATTTGTTTATTATACCGGAAAGAGAGACCTTTTCGTTTACGAGAATCAAAAATTCTCTTTTTTACACCTTTTATTTTTGATGATGAAAGTTTCGCGGATTAAGGCTAAACCTAAAACGGAAAAAATTTTTTGTTTTTGAGTTGTGTCACAACGTTTGTTCCTGTATAACAAATATAGAAATTTGCTTACCTTCAAAAAAAATCAAATATAAATTATAATAAACATTAGACTTATATAAAAAGCGGTCAAGTAAATTAAAAATGCTAATATATTTAATTATGTTGGAAACTACATTATTTACTACTTTCTTTACTGAATAAATAATATTATTTTAAATGGTAATACTAGATTAATAAAGATCAAATAATATAATCTTATTTAAATTAATATTTGTTTAATTTCAAATCTGACCTTTATTTGATTTGATCAAATTTCAATATTCAATTGTGATTATTAAAATAAATAAAATCTTTAACGATACTATATTCTAAATAATTGGAAACATTCATTATTCCTCATCTAATACGGGTTTGTTATCTCTAAAGACGTTATATCTCCAATTACGCTTTTCCTCCTATTATGATTTAACCAAACGTCAAAAATTTTATTTTTATTTTTAGCATGAAAAAGTCTTAATAATTAACGAACCTCAGTTTTATCCTTCAATAATCCCCTCCATGCTCCAGAGAATTCATAGAAACCCATTAAACCTCCGATACCTAGACATGCTCCAATACTTAGCGCATATGAACGTGCTAATTGATGAGAAATGGTTAAAGAAAATCTATACATTATGGATATAAATCAAAATCAGAAGCCAAACATACCCCTTATTCCTGTTGTTAAACCAGCAGCACACCCAGCTACAGCTCCATTAATCCAATCATCTGTTTTTCTGACGTTTGCTGTAATTGTTTCAGTCGCTGTAAAAATACCTCCTAGTAAAGCTATATATAATAAAAACAAAATCGAATCGGCCGAATAATTTCCAAATGAATTATTAATAATTATTGCTTATCCTTGGTGAATGTACAAGAGTTACGAATTCAGAATCAAAAGGTCTCTCAAATTTGGGTCTACAATGTTTCTCCATTAAAAAAAAAAAAAGAAAGAAAGAAAATGTACCAAAGCCCGTAACACTCGAGCCATATTTTGTGAAGACGGTAGAAGCGCGTGTATTATCATAATAAGAATTTTGCGCAGCTGCAACAAGAAGCCCAACACCAGCAAACCCTAAGGAGGTTTTCAAAGTGTTTAATATCAATTCTTTTTCATGATATACGTCGTCGTCCGTGTTTGTAGTAGAAGACATTTTTATTTAATGAATCGAATTTTTTTTTTTAACCTTGAATTGATTTATTCAGGATCTGTATTACATCGAATTCTTAAATGATCTTCGGTTATACAATATTTAATACGTCAGTCATAATCGTTTCGAGTTTAAAAGGTACTAATTAAATTTATTTCATTTTAGAACCTTTATTCGTAAAAAAAAGTTGAGAATCTCAATGCACTTTAGGCACAAGACGTGGCATAAAAGGAATGGCGCTAGGCATTCGGTATAATGTGAGGATTTTTGAAATAAATTCATCCACTTGAAAAATTTTTCAAGCATGTAATGGTGGTATAAGTTGATCGAAAAAAAGACCTTTTGATACTCCATAAATTTTGACAAAATAAACTCACTTTTGAATTGTTCCGAGAGATATAATGTTTCATATATTCCGTTAATAATTGATAATGTTGATCGTCGTAAAAATTTTCTTTAATTTAATTATAAATTATCATCATACGAAGTTGGAAACTTAATTAAAAAAAAACTATAATACAATTTTCTTTTTTTTTTTTTTTTTTTTCATATTCATATGTTCTAACCTATAATACAAAATCTAATATATCTAGATATCTTAACCATATGAATTATTTTGTTGGTGTTTTTTGAAATTTTTAAAAAAATCATCAATTTCATGAAGATAAATAAAGTAGGGAAAAAATTATACTTATTTCATTTTCTTAAGAGGTATTTGAACCGGTGGCAATGGAAGCAGACGATTGGGATTGTGTGTCACTTATAGTAGATTTTTCAGTCACAGAGGTTATATTATTTCCATTAACCGTTCTCCAATGCTTAAGAGGACGATTTATCGAAGAATATTTTCCCATATTCAACTCATACGCATTTTGATTCGCTGTTGTCGGATCCATCATCGGATATCCATTAAACATGGGAGGGGGATAATTGTAATTTGCCATTTCCTGATTAAAATAATTGTCGTCGGTCGAACTTTCCCCATTCGAGTTTTTATCTTTTTTTATAAAACGTGATATCGCTCTGGGCGAAAATGGATCAGAAGAGCGAAGTAAATTTGACCACGTATCATTAATAGATAAATCATCAAACCAGTGTGAAGAAAGTAACCGTTCAGGTAACATAATGGAGGAAATATCATTGGTATCAACAGCACTGGTACGATTCCAGAAGGATAAAAATCCGGCGTCTGTACCCATATACATTTCGTTTCTTAATTGTTCAGAATTTCTTTGTTCAGTACTATTGTTTACAATATTTAATTTCTCTTCAAGGTCTTTGCGCATTTCTGCAATCATACGCAATAATTTGCCAGCCATTGCCCAATATGGATCCGCTGCTAACAAATATTCTTTAATTATCTCCAAGTTCTTTTTAGCTTCTTCTGCAATTGAACTATTTGAACTACAAATATCATTTACAAGAACCGTCGAAGTTACATATAAAGGATACAAAGTAAAGACACACAAATAAGGAACCCCGTGTGCAAGAATATCAGCGGATATTGAGGAAACAGCCTTTGCTGCTACACTGCAACGTTCCGCTGATTTACGAATAAACTCTCTGTGCGATTCTTCTATCCCCTCATAATTTGGTAATGGCGCCGTGTTTGGTCGATTCAGGATAATGATAACTGAATAATAGATCAGGTGTATTGTGGCAAAAATAGCCCCGGTGCCATTGGTCATCAACTTCTGCAACCTTTCTTTGGTGTAAGTGTAATGAGGCGACAGTGAATTATACCAGAGATTTATTTCATTTGACAATATAGCAAATTGAGAATGCGGTTCCCAGAGGTGTAGTGAATTAGAAGGTCTTGAGCGATTAACGAACTGGCTAACTCGTCCAAGCAAAGCCTTAACGCAGACAAGACAAGCAAACAGTCCATTGTTTGTAAGAGTCATGCGTGATTCTTGTTTAACGTGAGCCTTGTTATAATATTCTTCAATCAAAACTTTTGAATAAGGATGATCATAATTCCAGATGGCTTCGTTACATGGAAATCTCACATCACAATCATCCTCATCAATTAATGTAGGTCGACCAACTGCACATGCAGAAGACCTAGATAAAAATAAATGGGAATTGTAAATAACTAGGGACGAATGTAAAAATAATTCGTCAATCAAAGTATCTTTACCTGTCAAGTAAAAAACACGACCAAAATGTACGTCTTCGAATCTCTTTTTGTATGAAGGCTGCTTCCGACTTGTCTTTTGTGTATTGCGCCCCTACGGGCGTTTCATCCACCTTATGAAGGCCAATTTCTTGTGCCATCCTAATAGCCATTCCAATGTATATCCAGGATCTTGGTCCTTTGCAAGTACTATACATATGTAAAGTCAATAAAACAAGTGCTGCAATAAATAGATTGAATTAGAAATGAAATTCATTTTGAAATTTAAATACTAATGGAATACGAGTCAAAATGAAACAAAAAAGAATGCAACATATATAAATATATACCTTGAACATATTCAACGGAAGGAAAATCAAAAGATCGAAAGATCATAGAGTTTGCGATCATTGCAAATTTTTCGCTTGATACGCGAGGAGTATCACCAACGATAGATGGGTGATTGGAAAACCTAACATGGAAAAAGTAATGAAATATTTATTGTTGAAAAATGCTGCATACCGAAAATAATCATGTAATCATGGATATTTACTTCGCACCCAAGGCACACATGGCAAATACTAGAATGGATGAAACTTTATTTTGCCTCAGAAGCTTCATAAAAGTAGGCTCATGGAAAATTGGAACCATACTATCAAAGTTACGGAAATAGCAAGAAGCGAGATGTTCCACTATTTCTACTCGAGGAAAATCTTCCAATCCAATTGACATGATAATGTTCGGCATTGGTGAATGAATGCTTGGTGGTGTTTCCCCCGAGCTGGCCGATCCAGGGAGAATCGAACTTGTTGAAGAACTCGGTGAAACTATACAGCTGAACGGCATATCTGATGGATGAACAAATCCAGGCCTTATTGATGTTTTTCCAAAAAAGAGCAGTTCATCTTCTTCCTTTTCCGCATTCCTTGAAATATAATTTTTGTGTTTATCCTCTTGAGAATCATCATCATTATTGGTCTGTTGTTCCATGAATCTTGACATTTCCTCACTTGAGGTTCGTAATGGATACGTTTTTTGTAACGGAGAAAGTAAATGATAAGGTACATTATGTCCATATGGGGATTGACTTTGCTGATTTGGTTTGTTGAATGCGCCGGGAGTTTTATAAAATTTATTATTATTTTGAAAATTCGGTGCGATAAATGCAGATCCAGCAAAGTAACTAGAATCACCCGAAGTAGATGACACAGGATTCGCGCCAAAATGTGAGAAAGGGGTATCAGGAACGTTGTTGACTTTAGGATTTGGCCTTTGTTTTTTTGTAGAACGACCGGTTGAATTATCAACACTGTCATCTACCAATCCTTGTTCTTTGAGAGGTTGCAACAGCTTTTCCATTTGTTGAAGACGTTTTTCCAAACTTTCAACCAATCCAACTCTTGGACCTCGCTTACGCGTACTAGGAAGATATGTACAATGCGTGCCGAGTCGTGTACAATTATTACAAGAAGGCTTTTCACCACTACACTTTACTTTTTTCTTACGGCACGCGTCACATGCCTGTGTCAGACGTTTTCTCTTAGGGGGCTGAGATTCGGCATTACTCGCAGGAGAAGAAGCGTTATCGCTGCTGTTAATAGAGTTTTCTTCAGCGGGGGAGATAAAAGTGGGTGGATCCATCCCAACAAATCTAAGGTTCAAATTATCTCTAAAGGAAAAAAAAAAGACGATTTGCGCGACTTTATAATTCGAATTCAACGTTGTGGATAATTTAAAGGAAGTAAACAAAAAAAAATTTGATTAAAATATGATTTTATTTCAATTGCAATTCATGTTCTAAATATCAACATTAAATCCAAACGAATACAATGAAAACACGCTCATATCTGATGGGAAAAAAAAAAAAAAAAAAACTCCATAGGATTACCTACTTAGTTATATAAAGGGAGAAATGGTAATTTTAAAAAGTAATTTTTATGGGAAGAAAATATCATTTCTTTTTAAATAAAAAGAAAAGGAGCCCTCCCAATATACTTGATGTTTTTTAATCTTAAAAAATGCTTCGGTGTTAAAAAAAAAAAAAATATATATATAGGAAAAATCCGTAGTAATGATAAATTGGGAAGCGTGTCTCTGAAGAAGATGAAACGGAAACGGAGAAAAAAATACCGACCTCTGTGAGGGGTTTAATTTATACCTTTTTATGGATAATCGGTATTAAAAGATTCCGAACTCCCGTGTAATTAAAAAGTCGTACATATTTATTTCTTTTTAATTCATTATTACAATAAATAAATAAAATAAATAACAATAGATCCAATAGATAATATCACCTGACATGTAGAAATTGGAAATTTGGATTTGTAATACAAAATTTCGGCACAAGCGTATTCCGGAAATACGGAATATCCGATTTACTCCCCGTTAAACTTATTTTGAGTAAGACTTATCTGTGATTTATTAAATTTCTTAATTAGGTCTTTATATCAATAAATTCTCGATTAAAGTTACATCACGACCGGACAATAAAGATAAATAAGACGATCGGATTTAAACGGTGATATTTACTGCGCCATATAATTTTGTGAAACACCTCTCAAATCAAATGTATGCATGCAATTTGTACCATTATACGGTAAATAGCTTATCCGTAAATATATAAATGACGTTGTCGGCAAACGGAAACATTTCTGTTCCGATACAGATAATCTTTATTGTAATTCATTGTCCCTCCTATTATTATTATTATTGATCATTTCATCGATTATGTGAATCCTTATCTAATTTACAAAGAAAAGTTAATCGATACTTTACGCGCAATCAAACCTTTTCGTTATTTGATATTACAAAAGATGAAACGCCATTTATTCTATTGATAGTAAAGA